TTTAAGTATTGTTTACCTGTATCACTATAACTTAATCCTCCATTTATTTATAAAGTATTTATTGCTGGGTGTGGTGGCCCATGCCTACAATCTCAGTGGCTCAGGAGGCTGAGACAGGAGGATCACGAGTTCAAACTCAGCCTCAGCAACTTAGAAAGGACCTATGCAACTTAGTGAGACCTTGTCTCAAAATATAAAATAAAAAGGGCTGGAGATGTGGCTCAGTAGTTAAGCGTCCCTAGGTTCAATACCTGGTGAGTGCCAAAAATAAATGAATCCATAAAATACCTATTAATTTCCTAATATGAGCAATAATCTTGTTTTTTTTTAATCCATTGCTCTATTGTCTTCTTCCATCAAAAGTTATCTTACAGATCTGAGCCTAATTCAATTTTTTTTCTTTTATAAGTAACTTTAATATTTTTCCCCCCTCGATGCCCAAAGAGCTTTTGCTTTATCTTTGAAGTCAATAAATTTGCTACGTTAAACTCAATGGTAGTTTTCTGCATCAATTCTTTCTGGATTACTCTGTGCCCTTTCAATGTATAGATTTAGCTCTTATGGTCCAAGATTTTGTGAGGACTTTACCTTCGTATCTCCCAATGGAGACAAAGTTAACTGTGGTTCTCTTCTTACTCCTAATTCCCATTCCTTTTCTTTCTTTCTTTCTTTCTTTCTTTCTTTCTTTCTTTCTTTCTTTCTTTCTTTCTTTCTTTCTTTCTTTCTTTCGGTATTGGGGAATGAACCCAGGATCTTAACCACTTAACTACATCCCTAGCCATTTTTTTAAAAAAATATTTTATTTAGAGAAAACGTCTCACTAAGTTGCTAGGCCTCATTAAGTTCCTTAGGCTGGCTTTGAACTTGCAATCCTCCTGCCTGAGTCTCCCGAGTGGCTGGGATTAGGTTTGTGCCACCATGCCTGGCTCTTTCTTCTTCTTCTGTCCCATACCAACTGCTTCTTGCAATTCTGGCTCATCTGTGTGTGATGAGTAATTTAGCCTTACTCCTCTAGTTCCCCCAAAAAACACATAAAATAATTTTTGTATAGCATCATTTCTCTGCTTGCTCTTTTGAGTCCCACTTGATTTTCTGCTTAATCTTCATTACTTTTGCCATCTGAGATCCATCTCTTGATGCACCAAAAAGAGTTTGCATTTTTGTTACTCATTCTCCTTGACACATAGGCGTTTCCACCCAGGAAAAAGAGGAAGAAATACAGACTGTACCTGAGTCTACCCTAACAGAAACCCTGATTGCATGGCTCTTCAGCTGACTTCTTCCTATAGGTCTGCTCATTCTATTCCACACTGAGTTCTTAAAGGGATGGTGTCTTATTTCCCTGAGCCTCCCTTTCACCAGCCCAATACCTGATGCTTCCCGAGCACTGTTTCATTGAGTCTTGGATGAATAACACACATGGTGCAGCAGGCACAAAATAATATATTACCTGGACATCTGCCATCTGGATGTCTCATGTCTTCCCGCCTTCTGATGTCATCCTGTTTTGAGGCATCTGAATACTAAGGCCTCAACCCCCTTCCCACACACTGTGGAAAGCCCTGGTGATCTGGTTAGTGATCATGGTCACCTCTTGTAGCCATTCCCTGCCTTTGTAAAGTCTCAATCTCTGCTTCTCAAGGCTACTTTCTCCTTCAGGTTTCCACCCACGATGGACCATGTCCTATTTCCCTTCATTTCCTTCAAATACTACTTGCATACAACTTTCTAGACATTCAGAGCAATTGCAAGCAGGTGTGGTCTGGGTGGAGAACTCATATAACTATAGCAACACACAGCACAAAAACATTCTGGTTCTTAAATGTCCCTCTAGTTCTGCTGTCACCTGAGACTTCTCACTGGTCTTTGCTTTCCCAGGAATCCTGACTCCTTGACATCTTGCTGGGCCCCCTCCATTTTCCCCCTGAAGCAGGGTCTCCCCATTCCTGCACTTCCTCACTGCCTTTTTCTGGGATGGCCATAGAAACTCCAGTGTCTTCTCACACTATTAGGCCAGGGACCTACTTCCCTTAGTCTGACTGCTGTGCCTTTGGTCCAAGCACCAGGACTTACTGCCATGAAAAGCCTCATCAGAATGTTTTATTAAACAAAAGTTTGAGTTCCTCACTTGCCCAAACTCCCATTCTATATCCCCTGTTGCCTCTGCTACTGCACCAGGCAGAACCAGCATCATTGTTCACCTGGACTATTGCAGTGGCCTCTTCCCGAGTCTCCCAGATGTCATTTATGGCCCTCTCCCCCCTCATACTTCACAGCCAGAGTTTCTTTTACAGACAAAAATGTGACCACACCACTACCCTGGTTGAAATGTATTGGTGCATTTCAGAGAACTTCTCACTGTGCTCTGGGGGTCCAGCCCCGCCAGCTCCCCTGCCTCATCTCACCCTGTTCCCCTCTTGCTCTTGGCCTCCATTGGTTTTTGTTCAGTTCCAAACAGTGGTTGGACCAGGGTCATGTCTTCCCCTTACCAGCTCTGCTCCTCTCCTTCCTCCTTTCATCTGGCTGCCTCCCATGCCTCCTCTGCCTATTTGCTTAAGGAGAACTTCCCTCATCTCTCCTGTGTCCAGCACTTTCCTCCACCTTTATTGTTACTGACAACACTTAGTATTTTTCTCTGACATCTGGCTTTTGTTTGACTTCAGCTTCACATAGTTATGAGTGTGAGCTACATGAAGGAGGAAGGATTGCTGTCTTGTCCATTACTCTGTCTCCAACTCCTGATACAGCGTCTGGCACAAATCCTAAATTAGAAATTATACCTTGAATTGAACATCGAGAAGGATGCTATGGCTCCTACTGGTGCTGCGGACACTGGTGCCAATGGAGAAAGGATCTCAGTAACTCAGAAATGGAATGCTCAGTCTTTTAAGGAAATCAATAATACTGCGTTCATATGCAGGTGCCAGGGTTCTGTCATTTCAAAGGGAGAAGAAAGTAGTGCATCCAAAGCTGCCCAGCTGGTGCTTACAGAAATGCTGTTCTGTGATATTTCTTTCTTCACCCAGGAGAGATTATTTTTTAAACCATGTTTTCTGAATTACACAGTTGCATATGAAACGTCTCGGCTCCTGCTGATGAAGTAGTTTCTGCAGAAAACTGGTTGTCTTCCAAGAGGAAGGAAGGGCCCCTGAGATGCTTCCAAAAAAGATGAAAGAATTTCCAAAATAGAAGCTTAATGTTGTACTGCATATGGGATTTTCAAATTCACAGCTGGTTGGAAAACCATTTCCGGCTTTAAACTATTCGAGTTACTGTCTCCATGGCTTCAAGCAGCCAGAACTATATCTATGTCCTGGTTGTCAGGGGTTTTTCTGTCTTTTCCCTCCCACATTTATTCCTTCCTGTTGAAAATGGTATTTCCAGCTGTGTGATAGTAGCATTTGCTAAGTAGCCACATAAGATGCAAGCTCCATGGAGGTGGTGCCACATCTGTGCTTTGTCCTTTTGGTCCTACAGATAGCTAGACCTTAATATGTATTGTTGAATAAATGAATCCTCAGTTGAAATGTTGTATACTAATAAAAAAACATACAGGAAAAAATCATCCATCAATATAAAGGAGAACATTGCTATCAATGGGAACCCTCAATTTAATTTTTTTTTTAGTTGTAGTTTGACACAATACCTTGATTTTATTTATTTCTATGTGGTGCTGAGGATCAAACTCAATGCCTCACCCACATGAGATGAGCACTCTATCACTGAGCCAAAACCCCAGCCCCCTTCAATTTAAATTTAAGTATGTCCAGAAATGCCCATATTACGCACATTCCCTCTTCCTGTTACTATTGCTGCATCAAAGCCACTCCAAAACGTAGTGACTTAAAACAATAACCTTTTCTATTATGCTTATAGATTCTATGGGTCAGGAATTTAGACAGGGAATAAGAGATGTGGCTTGGCCTCTGCGGCATAATTTCAGCTGGTAATGCAGAAAGGCTAGGGTGACTTGACAGATGTCTATAAGCATCTTGGGAATCCTTCATCCACTCCTCTGGTGCCTAGGCTGCTATAACTTGACCTAGGTGTGGCTTCTCCAAGTGTCTTGGGCTTCTTCATGGCATGGTGGCTTCAGGGTAATTGACCTTCTTATACAATTGGAAGTTTAATGCTGTACCACATATAGCAAGGTACACATGTGATACAACATGAAGGTACATTCCAGCGGCAAGTTAGAAGCTGCCCCACTTGTCATGACTCAGCCCAGGAAGTCACACTGTGTCATTTTCTGCCATACTCTATTAGTCAAAGCAGTTAAAAAGCCACTGAGAGTCAAGGGGAGGGGAAATCAACTCATCCTCCTGATAGGGGAATGGTGAGATTGCAATGTAGAAGAGAAAATGGAATAGGAGAGAATTTTGCAGCATACAGTCTGGCACCTGCTCTCAAGCTTCACTTGCTATATAGGTGGGTTACCAACTTGCCTGCGTTGGGTGTTGGAGGATGACCCGCAGTTGAGGTCATCCTGTGCTCATCCTGAACCTTTTTTTGCCTTTTTTTCCAAGTCTTTTTCTTTTTACTTGTGATAGATTTGGGCTTAGAAAATCACATTTTTAATGTAAGTATGTAGGTGATATGAAACCAACACTTCTCACCTGTGTTATTTATCAAGACGTTAGTAAGTGTGCTTTGAGGGGAAGAAGGACAAAGTTTTGGAAAAAGTTTTACAAATAATTTTCCCTTTATAAATGAATAAATGTTATTATCATAAAACCGCTGGAAAGATCTGTAATAAAGAAATCTTTTATTATTTAATTTGGGCATGATTAGATGGTCAACAAAATGTTTATTTCTACCCCGATGTGATCCTTGATGAACTGAGACTTTCTGGGCCTTGATTTCTTCATGTCATGTATAAAGTGATGGTTTGAATGTGTACTTCATAGTAATATCAGTACATATCTTTTTATGCTAATAGATAGCAACTATTAGCATTACTGAGCCATCAGAGTGTTTTTCTATCCCCTATTCTTCTCCAGGTCTCCACAATGAACAGAAATCTGCGGTTTCTACCTCTTAATTCTTCCCCCATCCCCACTGAGCCAGAGACAAGCAACCCAGTCCTCTCTCATGGAAGTGGACCAAGGGAAGATGTGCAAAATGCCACTCCTCATGGGAAATCCTACTCTGGGGAGGTCTTACCATGAAACTGGCACTATTTCTGTGGAGACAAGGCACTTTAGTGAAAGGAACTTGTAGGGTGGAAGATGCTTAATTCTCTCTGCATCACCTGCTTCTTCCCCAGCCCTGGGGCACTTACCTTCCATCTTGGGAGTAGGAGGGAAGGGAGCGAGAGCTCCACCTCAGTTGGGTTCCCCCCTTTGTGAATGCTCCAGCATTCCCAAAGGAAGCAAGCACACCCATTCCCACCAACTGTGTTGGTTTAAGTTCTGTACTGACCAACCAGGAAGAATGCTAACAGAACATGGAGGGGTAGAGAGAAAGGTTGGTTAGAGTACAGCTAAAGTTGAACCTCAAAGCTCTGGCTGGGACATGGGGATTCATACGGGCTGAAGCAATTGGGACAGAATAAAGAACAAAAATCTGTCCCCAAGATACCTGGGTACCTGTGCAAATTTGTCCCATTGTGGCTGTGTGATGTGGGCAGGTCATTTGCCCTCACTGGGCCTTGGTTTTCCTCACCTGAAACAAGTGCTGGGGTAGAACTCTTGTTCTGGAATGGTGGGTGACTTTAAACAGTTTGACATTATATCCTAAAACAGAACACTTGAACACCCTAGGACCAAGAAATTCCAAAAGATACAAACAAGAATGTTTTTATCAGCACTTTTTGTAATATCCCAGACTGGGAATTACCTGAATATTCATTCACAGTCAAATACAGTCATGTAATAAAATACTATGCAACAGAGAAAAGGCCATGGACTACAATTACATGCAGTAACATACAATAACACTGACCCTAAGCAACTCCAATTTAGAAGACCTAGAGTGGCTATTTGCATTTTCCATGTTGGGACAAACTTGGCCTGTTTCGTGGGACTGTTGTGAAGCATCAAGTGTGACAGTGTGTGGTGAAGATGCTGCATAAACTGGACAGAGATTACTGTTCTGTTATGATAACAACTCAAAGGTAAGATCAGAGTCTGCTTGTGGAGCGACTGAATGAATAGGTATGTGGATTATTAATTATACTTTTGATTGCTCAAGTTGAACATATAAACCATCTTTTGGGAAGAAAGTTTCAGACAAACAGGTTGGAATTTATAGGCCAACAGGCTGGGTTTTGAAACCAGTTAAGCAAATGGCAACTTCCACAGAGCCTTGGTGACGTTGGGTGTTTTCTTCACAAGAAAGAATTTACCAGAAGCTGGAGGTTGTGGCTGCCCTGTCTGTGTTCCCCCTGAGAACCTTACCCTGTGCCCCCTACCATTCAGGATTTGGCTAGGGAGTGACACCTGCCAAGCAGCCCAGACCACATGGATTTCAAGGCTGTGACAGTTCACAATGTTTATTAGGTGCGTAATAGATGTCGAGCCTTGTGCCAATCATCTTCTAAGTTATCTACTTTAGTCCTCCTAGTAGCTCTCTGGGTGGGGTTTTTCTATAATTCCCACAGTATAGGTGAGGAAGCAAATTAAGAAAGGCCACACCCTTTGATAAGATTTGAACTCAGGTCTTAGCCCTTGCTGTAGTCATTGGCCTCAGAGTTTGCACTGAGTTCTTCCATAGGAATTAAAAAAAAAAAAAATGGTGACTGAGCACCCATAGGAAGGCACAATCTCCCAAGTCTCCAATACCCTGTGAGGTGAGTATTATTATGTTACAGTGAGACGGGGTCCAGAGGTGTTAGCCTGTATAAAGTCACACAGCTGGAAATAGAAGACTTAAACGGGTGGGCCCCACCCCAAGAGTCCTTGATCTGGATCCCTCTGCACCCGCTCCTGGTCCTCCCTGAGTCTTCCCAGATGAACTTGTGGAAATGATCACTCCTTTCTTGGGATCCCGTGAGCATAGCCATGAACTCCGTGTGAACCAGTGCTCATACATCCCATCTCTATAGCAGGGGGAGAACTTTGAAAGGGCAGGGGCCAAGGTCTTATTTCATCTCTGTTTTCTGTGTTCCCATGCCAAAGGAGGAGAGAAGACATGCTGAGCTGGATGGGGTTCAGAGCTGGACTGTAGAGAAACTTGGCTGTAAAGTCCTTGGAGGAATTTTTTGGGGTTGAGGAAGGGAGGAGCCTAGGAGCTTATTGGCAGAGGGTAGTGCATTGGAACAGATACTTCAATTGGAGGAAGTGTGGTAGACATTCTAGTGCTTCGGAGATTAACCACTGGACAAAAACTCAGGGAGGAATGGGGGAGTTGGTAAGGAAGTAAGAGATATGAGAAGTGCTGACACGTGCTGCTGAGTGCTAGTCATAGTCTCAACAGAGATTCTGACTAGCAAGAAAGGTGTCTTTCTAGAGACCCACCACTCCCACATTTTTGCTCTTTCAGTTGCTCTCTCAGGAATGCCAGAAAGACTACAGCTTCACCCCATTGCCACCCTCTGTCCACGTGGTTTTTCCTAAATGCTATGTAGAGACTTGGTGAACAGAGGCACAGGGGGGAACCACAAGATGGAAAAGACACTGATTATGTGAGGTGGTGCTGGGCCATCCTGCACTGAGGTGTCAGGAATGACTAGGACCAGGAGTTATGCCACTGTGGGACTTGCTGCAAGTTCACGTGACTTCAAGAAATCTTGAAAGAGGAAGAGCATTTGGTTAAGTCCATGCTACCTGGGGAGCCAGGGTGAGCCAAGCTGACCTTGACCAGGTGTGTGATGGGAGCAGGTCATTCTCTCCTGCATGACAGCAAACCATTGTGGCCACATTTGATGTGTGATTTTGTCTACTGTGTAGGGCTTTGGAAACTCTGAGGCTCTATGAAAAGGTCTTCAGGGGAAGTACAAGCCAGAGAGCAGGTAACCAGAGCCCTGAAACTCTCACTCCAAATTCAAAGAAGGCAGCTCTTGTTTTCTGAGCTCATTGAGGTCTCTATGATAGAGTCTTTCCTCCTGCCTAGGCTGTCAGTACCAAATAAAGTGAGGGCCTGAGACCTCTGCTGCTCTCCTCTCTCTCTGCAGATGCGTGTACATGCTCATGTGCACAAGATTATGAAAAGGTTTTCTTCTGCAGGATCACAGGGATCTACTGCATGGCAGTCCCTCTTATCTACTGTCTGCTTTCTGTAGTTTCAGTCACCTGTAGTCAATTGTGATCCAAAAATATTAGATGGATGCCATTTGACTCTTCCTTGGAAAAAACTGGATTCAAACACACATGCTGTGTCTGGAGTCACAACCCACCATGGTTCCCAGTGACCAGGAATGAACCCAGTATTCAGAATTATATGTCCCTCTTGATGAGCCAGAAGGGCCTTGTGGAAATCTTTTTAGGTTATCAAATAAAAAAGAAAATGATTCAGAGAGCTCATTGACTTGCAGGAGGATGTGTGTGGACCCTGGAGGTCATCAGCTCAAGGTTTTAGGAGGGGAGGTAGAATTAATATTCTTTTCCCACTTAATAGTTGAATTATGAAGGGTCTTTGAGGTCACTTATCCAAGGTGACAGAGCAGGTAGGGGCCTGAGCAGGACTGAGGTGGTCTTTTCTCCCCAGTTATGGATGGTTCATCTGATCCATAAAGGGAATGAATGGGCTGAGACTTCCCACAGGGCCAATATGTACCTTTTGGGGGGCATCTATTCTCTGCCAGGCTTTGGATGTGGGAACTACTGAGGGGTGGCAGGAGGAAGAGGGATGGGCCCAGATCACCCATCGAAGGAGTCTCTCTCTCTCTCTCTCTCTCTTTTTTTTTTTTTTTTTTTACAACCCATCTGTCAACCACCTAGGCTGGCATTTTAACAGGTTCTCTGCTCAGAATTACCAATGGGCAGGAGTGGTGCTCCATGCCTGGTCCACTGTGGCTCTGGACGTCCAAGAGCTAACCCAGCAGCCTTGCTGGGTGGTCAGAACTGGTGTTTGTTTTGAATTTCCCAATGCTTTCCTGGGAGGGACCCAAGTGAGGAGGGCTTGGCAGCTGCATCCTCAGCTGAAATGTACAGAGAGCTTCCCAACTTTTCCCTTGACCACTGGAACCTCAGAGGTGACAGTCGAAAGAGAAAAGTAGGTCACTTGGTACAAAGTGGGGGATTCATTGCTAGGTCTCCAGATTTCTCTCTTGGACTGGGAAAGTGATCATAGACTCTCAGCACCTTGGAGGTCAAAGCGTATGGGTCCAGGCATAAACAAACACAGTTGCATAATCCAATGGCCGTGTTTCATCTTCCATTTTGACTTAATAAATCATTTAAGCATTCATCCTCTCTCTCAAGCTTAATTCAGCAACAAAAGCTAGAGATGGAAGCTCATTGATCAGGCATACACAGTCTAGGCACCTTCCAAATATTAATGCTTGAGTTGGGTTCATGGTGCCCATCACCTTGCTCCATTAAGGGTTCCAGCAGATGTAGTGAGCACGTGTGTCTAACTGGAGACCAAACTATCTACTAGGTCACTGGACTTCCAAGCACTGGGCTCCTTTGTCTAATCAGTTTGGACAACATGCTGACATCTCGCCTGACTGCAAGCTGTCATCAAACTCTGCTTCCCCCCTCTTCTTAAGCACACAGCTGGATCACAATTTCAGACTCTTTCATAGCCATGCACTGTAGACCTGCAGATGTGCCTCCAGACCCCTCTTCTTGGAGGTCTTGCTCTCCAGCTGCAGGAAGTGCAGTCAGCAGACAGTATCTGTCAGTTCACTCAGTCAGGTTGGCTTCAGCTGAAGAGCCTCAGCTGCCTTGTCCCATGTCACACCCTTCTGGTGACTGCATGAGGCACAATCATTTTGGCTCAGGAGAGGATACTTCTGATTGGCAATATTTGCTCCTGAGCTCCCCACTGGGTTAGCCATTGCTTGGTCAAGACTATGTCACAGTTTGACTTCTGTTAAATTGTTTCCTTCTCTCCTTTCATAGGTATTGATTCCTGGTAAACTTCATGTAGTCTCAAATTTTGTGTCAGCATCAGCTTCCTGAGTATCCAGCCTGCGACTCTGTGACTGAGATGTCACTGATGCAGGATAAGCAGAAGCTGTGTGCACTGTTCTGGGGCCCGGCCTTCAAAAACCTCCTGGGAAGATCTCATGCTTTCTCCGTCAGCTCTCTGGATACAGACTTCAGTGATGCCCTAGGGCATGGTGGAGCCTCAAGATGGAAATAGCCTACGGATCACGAGGAAGAGAGATGCACCTACCCCTCACCTTGAACACCCTTCCAAAACCATTAGGAGAATTGGAAATGATCTTCTTTTGTACAAAGCCACTGAGTTTGGGGCATCTACTTGTTATTTTAGTCTATCCTGACTTGTCTCCTTTTCTCATTTGCCTCTTCAGATGCAAATAGAGGGGGTGGCCATTGGCCAGGTGTGACTGGAAGTCCAGGTGCTCACTGTGTCTAGACTTAAGCAGGCCAGTGGTTACCACAGAACAAGAGAGAACAAGGCTTGGGGAGGCTTTTCTGTGCAGAGATCCACAGTCCCTTAAAATGTGGCTCAATGCCACCAGATTTGTCCATCAAAAGGCAACTGGTTGCTTTTAGGAGCAGGAATCATGAGATAGAGAGAAAGTAAGTTCTTATTCCACTCCCTGAGTGGAGAGCAGAATTAAAGATCTTTTTATGTGGCTCAAGGTTGGAATGTAGGAAAAAGAGCATGATTCCCGTCACAATGGAATCATCCAATCCTTTTGTTATTGTGTAGAGAGGGGTGGATAGATAGATGATAGAGTCATGATATATAAAAGGATGGATTGTATACAGATAATGGGTAGATGGAGATGGTAGACAGGTGATGGATGATAGACAAATATAAGTAGATGATATTTAATACTGGATAGAGGGCAGGTAAGTAGAGAGGAAATTGAGGTTCAGAGGCACTAAGGTATGTTCCCACTGTCAGGTCACACAGGTCACACATTAGTCATAGAAACAATTCAACTCTTGGTGGAATTCACAACCCAATTCTGCATTCTTTCCTCTCTTGAGGATGGCAATGAACATGTTCCATTTGCACCATACACAGGGTTTCACTAGTCTTATACAATGTTTTGCTTACTTTTGTTTTATTAGGTTTAGAATTAATCCACTTGTACTCTAATTTTAACTTAGGTTTTGTCATTTTGTAGGGTTTTACAAGATCTTTTTATTTTTTCTTTCTTTTTTGAATGGTGATGGTGGAGTAGGCATTTAAAAGCTGCAATCCCTAAATTCTTGCATGTTCAAACATGATTTTTTGTTTGAAGGACAATTTGGGTGGGTACACAATTTCTTAGTAACACTTTTGCTTGGAACCCTTAGAATGGATTTATTACAACATATCAGAGGAGACACCTAAGGTTGAACAAGTTGAGTTGGACAGTGGAGAAACCTTCAGTTCCTGGCTGTTTTATTTTGACTGTGTACTGTTGGCAATGGAGGGCGTTGAAGGTTTCTGTGCAAGGCAGTGGTAATTATTGTAGATGGATTTGTGAAGGAGGAGACTGATCACAGAGAGGCCAGATCAGAGCTACCACATAATGGTTAGGTGGCCAAGGCCTGAACTAGGGCAGTGGCAGTGTTAATAGATACACTGTGGATGCAGAACTGATAGAGTTCAGCAAGGTTATCAAAGGGACAAGGACAAAGGGGGAGGGGAGCTGCTAAAAAACAATGCCTGAGGTTAAACTGGGGGCAATTAGGAAGATAGTATCATTTATAGATCCACAGAAAGAAGGCAGAGGAAGGAATGGAAAAGGGAATGGGAAGAGGAAGAGAAGGGAAAGAGGAGATCCAAGTGAAGACATTTTGGAGGAGCAGGTAGAAGCCTCAGTGGAGCAGTCCAGATACAGCTGAAATCTGGGGCTGGAGTTCAGAGAAGAGGTTAGGGTGAAGGACAGCGTGAAGGTAGGAGTCTCTAAGTGGGATAAGTATGCCCAATATAAGTTTCTTTCCAAAGGTAAATCCTTAGTCATTTTCTGGAGGGTGTTGTGAAAACAGCCTCTGAAATTCACTTGTTAACCTCAAGTTTCTTCAAGGCAGTGAGAGAATTGCAACCTCTGCAGAGTGAACAACCCTGGGCTCCTAGACTTTCCTTGAGATCTCATTTCTACATTCACATGTTTTTCTTTCTTTTTTCTTGATTAATATTTGCTAGAAGTTTATTGATTTTTTTCCAGGCTACAAAAAGAAACTTTTCTTGGGTTAATGACTCAATTACACCATCTTTATATTTCCTTACTCTATTATGTATTGATGCTTTTCTTTCTATTTTTCTTCGATACCTGCCTACTCACTTTCATTGAACTTTTATTTGTCGAACTCTTTAATTTTATCTTTGGTAGTACAAATATTTAAAGCTGTAGATCTCCTCACAAATACTGCTTTCTCCATATGCCAGGTGGTCAGAGATACAGCATTTTCACTGACATGATTTTCTAAGTGATCATTATTATAGACAACTTTTCTGTTGGCTGAGAAAAACTTGTTATTGTGTACTTTATTTTAAAATTCCACAGATATCTATCTTTTTTTTTTTTCAAAGAAAAAACAAGGAAGCAGGGGGAAGCAAATACAGGAAACATCTAAAGTTACATAACCTTTGTAAGATTTGAGACTAGAACCCAGGTTGATTGACTCTGGTCTAATCAGTGAGAAAATGTTTTTCTACTTCTAAAGTAATTGTTCAAACTTGAGAGTTTCTGGAAAACTCTTCAGTGAAATGTGAAATGGAGAATTGCAATGTTTAGAGTTGGGAAGTCAGATTCTGCCTTGGCTGCTTGAGAGCTTTTTGACTTTGAGCAAGTCTCTAGGTCTCTTTGAGTTTCAACCTCACTACTTGCAATATGGAAAAATAACATTAATTTTATATTGTAAAGATGAAACATCAAATTGTTACATAAAATGCCTCATATACCACAAGTGATCCATAAATATTCATCTCTGCTCCTTTAATAACCCATGCTTTAATATATATATTTATATAATATATACATTATATATATATATATATATATATATATATATAATATATATATAATATTTAACTCTGCAGAGGTTGCAATTCTGTCACTGCTTTGAAGAAACTTGAGCTTAATAAGTGAATTTCAGAGGCTATTTTCACAACATCCTCCAGAAAATGACTAAGGATTTGCCTTTGGAAAGAAACTTACATTGGGCATACTGATCCCACTTGAAGACTGAAGGTAATAGACAAATTTTTAAAAAAATTAAAAAGTAAAAGAATGTGAATTGAGCTGCTATGAACATCGATGTAGCAGTGTCCCTGTAGCATGCTCTTTTTAGGTCTTTAGGGAATAGACCAAGAAGGGGAATAGCTGGACTTTAGGGAATAGACCAAGAAGGGGAATAGCAAGACTGTGGAACCAACCCAGATGCCCTTCAATAGACGAATGGATTAAAAAAATGTGGCATTTATACACAATGGAGTATTACTCTGCATTAAAAAATGACAAAATCATAGAATTTGCAGGGAAATGGATGGCACTAGAGCAGATTATGCTAAGTGAAGCTAGCCAATCCCTAAAAAACAAATGCCAAATGTCTTCTTTGATATAAGGAGAGTAACTAAGAACAGAGTAGGGATGAAGAGCATGAGAAGAAGATTAACATTAAACAGAGATGAGAGGTGGGACCCTCAGGGTTATACAAAAGAACATACAAGAGGAAATGAGGGGAAAGGGAAAAATAATACAAGGGGGAGAAATGAATTACAGTAGAGGGGGTAGAGAGAGAAGAGGGGTGGGGAGGGGAGGGGAGGGGGGATAGTAGAGGATAGGAAAGGCAGCAGAATACAACAGACACTAGTATGGCAATATGTAAATCAATGGATGTGTAATTGATGTGATTCTGCAATCTGTATATGGGCTAAAAATGGGAGTTCATAACCCACTTGAAGCAAAGTGTGAAAGATGATATATCAAGAACTATGTAATGTTTTGAACAACCAACAATAAAAAAAAAAGAAAAAAAAAAGTAAAAGAATGCATTATTCCAGTGCTAACTACTATTAATGAAGTATAATAAAATATTTGAGAACTTATACATGCATATATATGTATGTATGTATATATATATATATATATATATGGTGTGTGTGTGTGTGTGTGTGCGTATATATATATATATATAAACACATATTCATACCCACACACTCAAACACAGACTCAAAATTTGGATATTACTGCCACCACTATGTGGGGAGTGAGTTGCCTGGTAAGTGAAGGCTCTGAGGTTTGAGTGGAAAGATAGACCAGACTGATGGCAACATGGCGGGGGTGTTAGAAGGTGCTTCCTGAGGCTGGGGCACTGTCAGGGTATGAGCAGGTTTGGGTGAGTGCAGCAGACTACAATTTCAAAAGACCTACTTACTCACAGTGTCTCGTTCACTACACTGATTTTGGCATTTCACTGCCTAGTCAACAAGTCAGGCTGAATTTTTATTGAAGTTTACTGACCCAGCACTGTGTGAGGTGCTAGGTGGGGACACAGGAAATTCCTATGTTCTTGAGTGGCTGATGTGCATGCATTTAAGTACGCACACATTTGAAAAGACGAAATGCCACCTGAAATGATTGGTGTGGTGGTTATGAAAAAGAGGGATATTTGCCTTCCAGCTAGATGTTTTGGTTGGGGGGTGGAGATGGTTCAGGGTAAGTTTTGGCAGGGGAGATTTTTGGTCTGGGGAGATTGTAGATGGGAGGAGACTTAAACAGGTTTGGGATAGATAAGGAGGAGTTGGTTGGTGGAAAGAATCAGAAAGAATATCTCAGAAGGCTCCCTAGATTGAGCAGGGATGAGACCGAACAGCAAGTATTCAGGAGACAGTAAAGGACCTATCCTTTCAGAAATTGGTACTGGGAAACAAAAAAAAAAAATCATGCAAACCTAGAGTGGATGTTAGGTTTTGCAACTGGAAGGTGCTCAAATGAGCCAATTAGATTCTTGACAGGGAGGTACATGATAAAAATAGAATTTTTAGAGATTAACTGTGGGCATTTGTGCTTAGAACAAATAGAAGAATAAATCTACACTCAGGGAGGCCAGTTGTCTATGAAGGATTGAGAAGTTATATGAACCAAGGAAAAGGCTGTAGAGAGAGAGAGTAGAAAGGTCAAATCTAAGAGACAACGTAAAGATGCTGCTTGCTGTTCAGGCCAAAGAGAAGGAAAAGTCAGTGAGACCAAGGTTTATAAGCCAATGGAAACAGAATAAAATCCCTAGTAATAGAAATAGTCAAAGAGGCATTTGGAAAGTCTTATAAGTTGAGGAGGCACAAACACAAGATGTGCTTGATGAATGAGCTACAATAATAATAGCAATAGTGATAGTAGTAAATACAGAACTTTTATACTCAGGCTTAAATGTAAGTCCTTCATATATGGTATATTCATTAAGTTTATGTATATATTATCTATAAGTGTACAAATCTGATACTATATTACACAAACTTATTTGCCACAGTCTGGCTGGGCACAAATGCCGCAGTCTGGCTGGGCACACAATCACGAGCCACCACACAGCTTGTAGATTCAAACAGCAACTCTTTATTCCCGAACTCACACCAGCCGTCTACAATCACGTTCTGGGGAAATCCACGTTCACTGCCCAAATCCACGTTCTCTGCCCAAATCCACCTCCACTGGGCTTCTGTCTCCCAAAATATACTGTCTGAATCCCGTGAGAACTCAAGGGGAACTCAGGCAGCAGGATACGCCCTATTCCCAGCAGGAATAATCTTAAACCTTAAACCTGGAACCTAAACTGGGAACGCCCTAAACACGATTATCTTAAAACCGGGAACACCCTAATCTGCCTTGGTCCTTGAGCAAGGTCACGTACATTCAATGTCACTGCAACATGGGGTACGCTGGCAAGGAAATTGTCATACCTACTTGGCTAATGGCTCCCAGCATCTCCCCCCTTCTGATTAATTAAACAACAAGCAATGTGGCTTAAGGACCGTGCCTGGTAGGTTGTCCAATTCAACATATGGTTCTTACCCGTCATGGGAAAAACTGACCTTTAGGCGTCAGCCTCCTGTCTTAGGTTGATACCACTGCAATTGAATCATACCCGTCACTGACTACCGGTCCAGCATACAGCCATACTTGTGGATAGGTCTATGCACCAGTGGGGGGGTGAGGTTCTTTGCCTCACCTCTGTTGGCCCCCAAATTTGGCCTTGGTGCCAGTGGGGGAGTGAGGTTAATGTGGCTTATGGACCGTGCCTGGTAGGTTGTCCAATTCAACATATGGTTCTTACCCATCATCGGAAAACTGACCTTTAGGCGTCAGCCTCCTGTCTTAGGTTGATACCACTGCAATTGGATCATACCCGTCACTGACTACCGGTCCAGCATAAGCCATTGGCCCCCAAATTTTAGACCATCACTAGCAGAAGGGAGGAGGATACAGAAATGCCACGACACCAAGCCAATTGACGGCTCCTTGGGAAAAATTGCATCACTGGTGACACCATCAGCAAAGATATGTCAGCACTACCACAATTAACATGGGGTGCGCTGGCAAGGAAATAAAAATTGCATCACTAGTGACACCATCAGCAAAGATATGCCAGCATTACCACAATTCGCTGCACCAAACGATAGTTACATAGTCCAGGCAAGTTCTGCAAGCAGTTCAAAGCAGAGGAATCTATCAATATGTCCATTTCCTCCCAAAATCCGTTTCCTCCCAAAGTAAGTTGACTCTTTGATTGAGCATTACTTGTTGAGTTCTTCACCAGCACTGGGATGGAGATAGGAATTCTGGCAATGATGCTAAAGAGACATTATCCTGAAAAGAATTATTAAATATAATGAAAAGGAAAGGTGAAAGTAAACAAACAGATCTGTTAACCTACTTTAAAAACAATCCTTAACAGCTTTTTACCTAATTTAAATTAGTAAACAAACAGATCTGTTAACCACCTTTAAAAACAATCCTTAACAGCTGTTTACATAATTTAAATTAAACCATTTAAATCACGTGAATAAAAAAAATAATAATAATTCGGATCCATTTTTTCATGAGCGCTCCTCATATAAGAAATATGGACATACGCACATACAGACATACAACACAAAACACAAGAGTGTACACAAACGTACAACACATAAGAAAATAGTAAAGGCCTTGTAGCTTTACCTGGGTGAAATCTCCATTGCAATGTTTAAAAACTCCACAGTCAAAAAATAAAACTGATCAGAAAAACATTAACCTAGGTTTGTATGAGCTCAAAAAATAAAAATAGAACCTTATGATGTGGAAAAATGCAATAATAAAATAGCTATTGAAAAAAGCATCCTGGTTAATCACTGTCGCAGATGTAAGAATGGCCAAGCTGGAGTTCTGGATATCAGCTGTTATGGATTTGAGTCAAATCATCTTCTTTTCGATCTGTAGAAACTGTTTTAGTTAATCTCTCTGGAATCCAAATGGGCTGCTGTTCTCCCTGTGGAAAAACACAAACAGACCCCCGACTCCAGACAATCACTGGGTCAGGACCTTTCCATTGTCCTGTTAGAATGTCTTTCCAAAGTACTTTAGGCTTATGTACATTTTTTGGATACATATGCCTTTCCGCAGCACTAAGTCCTGATGAATCCAAATTTAAAAAGTTTAGAGTAAAAAGCATTATTTTAAGTTTATCTTTGGGGGATATATACCCCTTAAAGATCCTTTTAAATTTAAGTCTTTTAAAAGCATTTTGCCTTAGTTTTTAGAATTACTTTAGTCCTTTTAATTTTTCGATGTGGTTTTAAACCAATTTCCTTCTAGTTTAATGTTTTCTAAATTGGCTCTTGTCTATAAATTTTAACACCCTCATCTGAGACTTCTAATTTCTGCACCACCAGAAATTAAAGTTGATGGGCTTTTTGAAAAAATTACTAATAATCTCCTTGTTCTTCTATTTTATCCAATATTTGACTGT